GAAAGAGTCTGCGAGGAAAGTCTTCGTGAGGAATTAAGAATCCGGTAGAGGGTTTTGGTGGGCATCATTCTACTACCTCTGCCAACATTTCCCCCAAGTAAAAGCCCCCACCCCCGGCTGCCTCTCAGGAGGTATTGATTTTTCTCTTCCCGTTGTCAATTATGTTGGACTCTCCTGGACTTTTCAATACAGAACATCAGAGTGGAAGCGGAGCATGACCCTACTCTCCTCCACCCTGAGCACCACCCGGCGCTGGCAGGAGATGGGGTGACCAGGGAAGGTCTGGAGGAAGAATTTCGCGGGTCCGCCTGGGAGCTGGGAGCTCGAGAACGCCCCAGTGGCTACCTTTATCCTTTGAGATCCTTCTCTCTCCTCCTTGGACTTTCTATTCTTCGAGCTTCTTTTCAGGCAGGCCTCCTCTAAATCTTCCTGCTTCTGCTCTTCCCCATAATCGACTCCCTCTCAACATGAAGATATCTTGGTTTTCTTTTTATAACTTCTATTATGTTTAGAAGGGCTTCGGATAACGTATCTTTGATTAACAGCTTCTGGCCTCAGAAAGTTTTCTCTTAGTTTACGTGCACAGGTTTACACAAGCTAAGGGCTCAAGTGGGCAAAAATAATCAGCACTCCTTTAGAACCTTAGGGCGTGCGAGGTGATCACTGCCGTGCTGTCTCCCTGCAGGGTTTGACACATTGAATAACTTGAACATGAATTAATCAAACTGAACCTGGAACTATCCCTCAGTGACTACGAATTAGAATATGGTACTAATGAAGGCATATCCTGGTTGTCACTTATTTAGTTTCCAGGGAAGAAATTCCTTCTTCTGAAATTCCTAATCCATGTACCTAGCTCACTTCATTTTTTTTTTTAATTGGCTCAGCTCATAGTTTAGTCAAAATTTAATATTTGGGTTCAAAACGAAGTTAAATATATTAATGGAATTCATGAGACTCTGAGTTCCCAGTGGAGACAGAATCCTTAGGATATGTTTCCAAAAATATATTTTTTAAAAATGATACAAAGAATGCACTGGAAATGTCAGCAATGGTTATCTCTGTGTCATGGGATAATAGATTAATTTTTTTATTTTCTTCTTTACTGTATTCTCTAAAGAACATGTAACAATCAGGAAAAAGTTTTTAAATAAGTTCTCTCCAAAGGTACAATACTCTTCAGGCATCAGAAGAGCTAAAATATTAAATCCTCTTTATACTTTACCTTTCACATCTTATCAATCACCAAATCCCTTGAATTCTGTCTTCTAGAACTGCTTTCAGATCTGTCCCTCCTCAGCATCCATACTATCGCTGCCACATATTTATCATTTCTTACCCAGGTTTCAGTAACCGCCTTAACTGTTCTGCTACCCATTCAGCCACCATGCTGCCGTATCTCTTTAAGACTGACAAAGATTAAATTTCATTCCTTTACCATATATTTGACCCCCTTTACCCTTTTCTATTCCCCCTCCCCACCCTTTTTCCTCTGTTTTAACTTTAAATGTTTAACTTTGGGTTGTGAACACACAATGCAACATACATATGATATATTGCTGAATTGTACACTTGAAACCTATATAATTTTATTAACTGATGCCACCCCCAATAAATTTAATAAATTTAATTTTTTTAAAAAAAGAATGGCAAAGGTGAACATGTCACTTAAAGGCTTAAAATCTTTCAGTCCCCTCAGCTCCACTGCTATGAAGTTCAAACCTAGCCCAGTTGGCAAGGCCTTTACTTCCCAGCCTGACCCCAGCCTTCCATGTTGGCCTCATCTCCTGCCTTTACGCTTCCCTGCAGCAGGATGATCCTGCCCCACTACAGCTTTTTGTTCTTCATACACGTGTTGTGTGACTTCACATGTCCACGGTTAAGACTGCACAGCACTGGAATGCCACCTTCTTCACTAGCCTTAACAGCAAGTCTCTACCTCTGCTTCAAGATTCATCCAGATATTATCTTTTTCTACGAAGTCTTCAAAATCAACAGGGGCAAAATTAGCAACTCTTCCTCTCTACCCCAATAACAAGCACTTTATTTATTCAACAACTATTAATCCAACTCCTATTATGTGCCAGCCAATATAAAGAAAACATTTAGTATTTATATTCCTGGAGCACACCACGAGAGAGACAAACATTAAATGGAGTCACACAAATAAATAATTGTAAACTGAGATAAGTGTGATGAAACCACTACATGTGCAAAAAGAAGCATGATTTACTTTGAATATAGGCCAACCATAGTCTTTTCCATGTTATATTATAACCCATTGATTTATTTGTTGAAAGTTCTGTCTCTGATCACATTCTTCTGTGTGCCCCTGTCTAGAGCACAGCATCTGACTCATATCAGGTGCTCAGTAAAACTTTTAAAGGAAATAAATAGGTGAATAAATAAATGGATATTTGAAACATTCATGAAGCATTTTATTTCATGTATTTACATGCTACTATTGTACAAAATATAAAACACTTTAGTTCTATGTTTTGAAAATTAATATCATTAGATCCTTGTCTCATCTTTCATAACTCTAATTAGGTTCTTCCAGCATAAATTATCTAATTTCTTTTGTTTGATATCATATTTAGGAACTATAGCTAATGTACTATTTGTAGATAATTTGTTTTTGCTAGGAGAAATTTATTCCTTTGTTTTTTATAAATTTGGCTTTTAACATATAAAAATCCAACTTTAAGATACAAAGCTAAAAGATACAAAGCATAATCCATAAAAGAATATATATAATGGACTTTATCGAAATTCAAAATGATTGCTCTGCAAACAACACTGTTGAGAGAATGAAAACATAAACATAGACTGAGAGAAAATATTCAAATCATATATCTGACACAAGACTTGTAGCCAATATATATAAAGAAAATGATAATACCAAATGCTGATGAGAATGCAGAGCAGCTGGAACTCTCATACATTGCTGGTGGGAATGCAAAATGGAATAGTCACTATAAAAATAGTTTCACAGCTTTTATAAAGTTCAATGTACACTTAACCATGTGACCCATTATTCCCACTTCTCGATATTTGCCCAAGTGAAATAAAAGATCTATGTTCACTAATAACAAAAATATTAACAAATATTTATAGCAATTTAATAGGTAAAATCTTGAAATAGCCCAAAAATCTCTCAACTGAAGAAAAAATAAACAAACTGAGCACATCCATAGAATGAAATACTACTCAGTAAAAGAAATGGACTGTTGATAAAAACATTATGTATCTCAATGTATTATGCTCAGTGAAAGGAAACAGACTCAAAAAGCCAAATGCATACAGTGGTTAAGAATGGCAGAAAAGCACAGTGAAAGAATTCAAGGTTTTTTATGATGAGGGAGCCACAATTTGAGATCTAGATGATCCATATTTACATAATGCAATTGTTTAAACCCTTGTTATTTCCAGTTTCCTGTAATGCATAGCTAAACCTCATTTTACCCAATATAATGAGTGCATGAATTAATCAATTAATGAAAATTCGACTAAATGTAGTCTTCATGAAAGAAGAAGCTGTGACTATCTTATTTACTGAAATATCACCAGTGCCTCACACAATGCAGTACACAAAGTGGGTGTTCAATAAATAACAGTTAAATGAATAAACATAAGAATGAAGATAAAGTTGGGATTTTACAGGAATGTAACAAAATTTTCTATTTAGATAAGTGTTTTCCCCTTCATAGTAGCTACTTTGGCACATTACATTTTTCGTTCTAGTGATACTGCTCCTATTTCAACATATATTCCCTTTCCCCTTTCTGCTTATTAAAATATTGTCCTTTCTTTAAGTAAAATTGTTTTCTTTAAATAAATTATTTAACTTTCCCTCGATGAGGAAAAAATAAATTTAACATGTTTTGACATTTTACTCATTTTTCAATATCCCACATAATACTTAATTTATCTTCATTTCCTCTATCAAAATATCAGAAATTTATATAAGGGGCATGTGGTAAAAATAAAAATTCAGATTGTATGCAAAGCTTTAGAGATTATGGCTCAAAAACCATCACATTTCCAGATGTATCACTAAAAGTAATTTTCATTTATTGGACACTGATGGTTGACATTAAGCTCTTGAAATATTAAAATATTTCTGCTCTAACCAGTTTGCACAGTCAAGTGACTTTTAAAAAATCATTTACAGCTAAGCTGTTCTTATGGAATTTTTGAGAACTCAATTTTCTCTACCAGTTTTTGTACTAGGAAACAGTAATCCTGCATGCCAACAGAGCCCAACCCCTCAGCTGTGTTAAGACATCATTCAGCTTTATACCTTGTTTCTATAAGGGAGCATGTTTTGCATAAACACAA